TGTGTCTCTATGGGGCTCACTATGGGATGTCCCAGGCCTGGCCCCCCCCGAGCACCTGATCCGGGTGGAGGGGAACCCCCAAGCCCGTTACCATGACAACGAGACCACGCGGAGGCACAGCGTCACCGTGCCCTACGAGCCCCCCGAGGTACCCGTGGGCCCCATTGCGCCCCATAGATCCCATTGCGCCCCATAGATCCCATTGCGCCCCATAGACCCCATTGCGCCCCATAGATTCCATTGCGCCCCATAGACCCCATTGCGCCCCATAGATTTCATTGCGCCCCATAGATCCCATTGCGCCCCATAGATCCCATTGCGCCCCATAGATCCCATTGCGCCCCATAGATCCCATTGCGCCCCATAGATCCCAGTGTGCCCCATAGATCCCAGTGCGCTCCATAGATCCCATTGCGCCCCATAGACCCCATTGCGCCCCATAGACCCCATTGCGCCCCATAGACCCCATTGCGCCCCATAGATCCCATTGCGCCCCATAGGTCCCATTGCGCCCCATAGACCCCATTGCGCCCCATAGATCCCATTGCGCCCCATAGATCCCATTGCGCCCGATAGATCCCAGTGCGCCCCATAGATCCCATGGCGCCCCATAGATCCCATTGTGCCCCATAGATCCCATTGCGCCCCATAGATCCCATTGCGCCCCATAGATCCCAGTGCGCCCCATAGATCCCAGTGCGCCCCATAGATCCCAGTGCGCCCCATAGATCCCAGTGCGCCCCATAGATTCCATTGCGCCCCATAGATTCCATTGCGCCCCATAGATCCCAGTGCGCCCCATAGATCCCAGTGCGCCCCATAGATCCCATTGCGCCCCATAGATCCCATTGCGCCCCATAGATCCCATTGTGCCCCATAGATCCCATTGCGCCCCATAGATCCCATTGCGCCCCATAGATCCCATTGCGCCCCATAGATCCCAGTGCGCCCCATAGATCCCAGTGCGCCCCATAGATCCCATTGCACCCCATAGATCCCATTGCGCCCCATAGATCCCATTGCGCCCCATAGATCCCATTGCGCCCCATAGATCCCATTGTGCCCCATAGACCCCATGGCGCCCCATAGATCCCATTGTGCCCCATAGATCCCATTGCGCCCCTTAGACCCCATTGCGCCCCATAGATCCCATTGCGCCCCATAGATCCCATTGCGCCCCATAGATCCCAGTGCGCCCCATAGATCCCAGTGCGCCCCGTAGATCCCATTGCGCCCCATAGATCCCAGTGTGCCACATAGATCCCATTGCGCCCCATAGATCCCATTGCGCCCCATAGATCCCAGTGTGTCCCATAGATCCCATTGCGCCCCATAGATCCCATTGCGCCCCATAGATCCCATGGCGCCCCATAGATCCCATGGCGCCCCATAGATCCCATTGCGCCCCATAGATCCCATTGCGCCCCATAGATCCCAGTGTGTCCCATAGATCCCATTGCGCCCCATAGATCCCATTGCGCCCCATAGATCCCATGGCGCCCCATAGATCCCATTGCGCCCCATAGATCCCAGTGTGCCCCATAGATCCCATTGCGCCCCATAGATCCCAGTGTGCCACATAGATCCCATTGCGCCCCATAGATCCCATTGCGCCCCATAGATCCCAGTGTGCCCCATAGATCCCAGTGCGCCCCATAGATCCCATTGCGCCCCATAGATCCCATTGCGCCCCATAGATCCCAGTGCGCCCCATAGATCCCAGTGCGCCCCATAGATCCCAGTGCGCCCCATAGATCCCATTGCGCCCCATAGATCCCAGTGTGCCCCATAGATCCCATTGCGCCCCATAGATCCCATTGCGTCCCATAGATCCCATTGGGCCCCATAGATCCCATTGCGCCCCATAGATCCCATTGCGCCCCATAGATCCCATTGCGCCCCATAGATCCCATTGTGCCCCATAGATCCCAGTGTGCCCCATAGATCCCATTGCGCCCCATAGATCCCATTGCGCCCCATAGACCCCAGTGCGCCCCATAGACCCCATTGTGCCCCATAGATCCCATTGTGCCCCATAGACCCCATTGCGCCCCATAGATCCCAGTGCGCCCCATAGATCCCAGTGCGCCCCATAGATCCCAGTGCGCCCCATAGATCCCATTGCGCCCCATAGATCCCATTGTGCCCCATAGATCCCAGTGTGCCCCATAGATCCCATTGCGCCCCATAGATGCCAGTGTGCCCCATAGATCCCAGTGTGCCCCATAGATCCCATTGCGCCCCATAGACCCCATTGTGCCCCATGGATCCCATTGCGCCCCATAGATCCCATTGTGCCCCATAGATCCCAGTGTGCCCCATAGATCCCATTGCGCCCCATAGATCCCATTGCGCCCCATAGATCCCAGTGCGCCCCATAGATCCCATGGCGCCCCATAGATCCCAGTGTGCCCCATAGATCCCATTGCGCCCCATAGACCCCATTGCGCCCCATAGACCCCATTGCGCCCCATAGATCCCATGGCGCCCCATAGATCCCATGGCGCCCCATAGATCCCATTGCGCCCCATAGATCCCATTGCGCCCCATAGATCCCAGTGTGCCCCATAGATCCCATTGCGCCCCATAGATCCCATTGCGCCCCATAGATCCCAGTGCGCCCCATAGACCCCATTGTGCCCCATAGATCCCATTGTGCCCCATAGACCCCATTGCGCCCCATAGATCCCAGTGCGCCCCATAGATCCCAGTGCGCCCCATAGATCCCAGTGCGCCCCATAGATCCCATTGCGCCCCATAGATCCCATTGTGCCCCATAGATCCCAGTGTGCCCCATAGATCCCATTGCGCCCCATAGATCCCATTGCGCCCCATAGATCCCAGTGTGCCCCATAGATCCCAGTGTGCCCCATAGATCCCATTGCGCCCCATAGACCCCATTGTGCCCCATAGATCCCAGTGCGCCCCATAGATCCCAGTGTGCCCCATAGATCCCATTGCGCCCCATAGACCCCATTGCGCCCCATAGATCCCAGTGTGCCCCATAGATCCCAGTGCGCCCCATAGATCCCAGTGTGCCCCATAGATCCCATTGCGCCCCATAGATCCCATTGCGCCCCATAGATCCCATTGCGCCCCATAGATTCCAGTGTGCCCCATAGATTCCAGTGCGCCCCATAGATCCCATTGCGCCCCATAGATCCCGTTGTGCCCCATAGATCCCGTTGCGCCCCATAGATCCCGTTGCGCCCCATAGATCCCATTGCGCCCCATAGATCCCATGGCGCCCCATAGATCCCATGGCGCCCCATAGATCCCAGTGCGCCCCATAGATCCCATTGCGCCCCGTAGATCCCAGTGCGCCCCGTAGATCCCAGTGCGCCCCATAGATCCCATTGCACCCCATAGATCCCAGTGCGCCCCATAGATCCCATTGCGCCCCATAGATCCCATTGCGCCCCATAGATCCCATTGCGCCCCATAGATCCCATTGCGCCCCATAGACCCCATTGCGCCCCATAGATCCCATTGCGCCCCATAGATCCCAGTGCGCCCCATAGATCCCAGTGTGCCCTATAGATTCCATTGTGCCCCATAGATCCCATTGTTCCCTATGGGCCCCATTGTTCTCTATGGGCCCCATTGTGCCCATTTTGGGTTCATTTGTGTCCATTTTGGGTCCATTTATGCCCATTTTGGGTCCGTTTGTGCCCATTTTGCGTCCATTTTGGGTGGTTTTGTCCCCATTTTGGTCCATTTTGGGCCGATTTGGGGTGTTTTGGGGCTGATTTGGGGTGTTTTGGGGTGTTTTTATGCTGATTTTGGGTGTTTTGGGCTGATTTTGGGTGGTTTTGTCCCCATTTTGGGTGTTTTTGGGCTGATTTGGGGTGGTTTTGTCCCCATTTTGGGTGTTTTTGGGCTGATTTGGGGTGGTTTTGTCCCCATTTTGGTCCATTTTGGTCCATTTTGGGCTGATTTTGGGTGTTTTTGGGCTGATTTTGGGTGTTTTTGGGGTGTTTTTGGGCGGATTTTGGGTGTTTTTGTCCCCATTTCGGGTGTTTTTGGGCGGATTTTGGGTGTTTTGGGGCTGATTTTGGGTATTTTTGTCCCCATTTTGGTCCATTTTGGGTGTTTTGGGGTGTTTTGGGGCTGATTTTGGGTGGTTTTAGGCTGATTTTGGGTGTTTTTGGGCGGATTTTGGGTGTTTTGGGGCTGGTTTTGGGTGTTTTTGGGCTGATTTGGGGTGGTTTGGGGTGTTTTGGGGCTGATTTTGGGTGTTTTTGTCCCCATTTTGGGTGGTTTTGGGCTGATTTTGGGTGTTTTTGCGCTGATTTTGGGTGTTTTGGGGCTGATTTGGGGTGTTTTTGTCCCCATTTTGGGTGTTTTGGGGCTAATTTGGGTGTTTTTGTCCCCATTTTGGGTGTTTTTGGGCGGATTTTGGGTGTTTTGGGGCTGATTTTGGGTATTTTTGTCCCCATTTTGGTCCATTTTGGGTGTTTTGGGGTGTTTTGGGGCTGATTTTGGGTGGTTTTAGGCTGATTTTGGGTGTTTTTGGGCGGATTTTGGGTGTTTTGGGGCTGGTTTTGGGTGTTTTTGGGCTGATTTGGGGTGGTTTGGGGTGTTTTTGGGCTGATTTTGGGTATTTTGGGGCTGATTTTGGGTGTTTTTGTCCCCATTTTGGGTGTTTTTGGGCTGATTTTGGGTGTTTTTGTCCCCATTTTGGGTGTTTTTGGGCTGATTTTGGGTGTTTTTGCGCTGATTTGGGGTGTTTTGGGGCTGATTTGGGTGTTTTTAGGCTGATTTTGGGTGTTTTTAGGCTGATTTGGGGTGTTTTTGGGCTGATTTGGGGTGTTTTTGTCCCCATTTTGGGCGTTTTGGGGCTGATTTTGGGTGTTTTTAGGCTGATTTGGGGTGTTTTGGGGCTGATTTTGGGTGTTTTTGTCCCCATTTTGGGTGTTTTGGGGCTGATTTTGGGTGGTTTTGGGCTGATTTTGGGTGTTTTTGTCCCCATTTTGGGTGTTTTGGGGCTGATTTTGGGTGTTTTTGTCCCCATTTTGGGTGTTTTTGGGCTGATTTGGGGTGTTTTGGGGCTGATTTGGGTGTTTTTGGGCTGATTTGGGGTGTTTTTGGGTGTTTTTGGGCTGATTTGGGGTGTTTTTGGGTGTTTTGGGGCTGATTTGGGGTGGTTTTGGGTGTTTTTGTCCCCATTTTGGGTGTTTTTGGGCTGATTTTGGGTGTTTTTGTCCCAATTTTTGGTGTTTTGGGGTGTTTTGGGGTGTTTTTGGGCTGATTTTGGGTGGTTTTGTCCCCATTTTGGGTGTTTGGGGGTGTTTTTGGGTGTTTTTTGCGCTAATTTTGGGTGTTTTTGGGTTCATTTTGGGTGTTTTTGGGTGTTTTTGTGCTGATATGGGGTGTTTTTGTGCCCCCCAGGTGGGCTCCCCCTGCAGCACGGTTCTCTACAGCTTCATGTGCAACAGCTCCTGCATGGGGGGCATGAACCGGCGCCCCATCCTCATCATCCTCACCCTGGAGGGGCCCCAGTGAGCACCTGTGGGGCTGGGGGGGCTATGGGGGCTATGGGGGCTATGGGGGCTATGGGGGCTATGGGGCTGGGGGGGGTTATGGGGCTATGGGGGCTATGGGGGTTATGGGGGGCTATGGGGGCTATGGGGGGCTATGGGGGCTATGGGGGTTATGGGGCTATGGGGGGCTATGGGGCTATGGGGCTATGGGGCTATGGGTCTATGGGGGTTATGGGGCTATGGGGGCTATGGGGCTATGGGGGGTATGGGGCTATGGGGGTTATGGGGCTGGGGGGGCTATGGGGCTGGGGGGGGTATGGGGGCTATGGGGGTTATGGGGCTGGGGGGGCTATGGGGCTATGGGGGTTATGGGGCTATGGGGCTGGGGGGGGTATGGGGGCTATGGGGGTTATGGGGGCTGTGGGGGCTATGGGGCTGGGGGGGTTATGGGGCTATGGGGGATATGGGGCTGGGGGTGCTATGGGGCTATGGGGGCTGTGGGGGCTATGGGGGCTATGGGGCTGGGGGCTTATGGGGGCTATGGGGTTATGGGGGCTATGGAGCTATGGGGTTATGGGGCCTATGGGGGCTGTGGGGGCTATGGGGCTGAGGGGGGTTATGGGGGCTATGGCGCTATGGGGGCTATGGGGCTGGAGCTATAGGGGCTATGGGGCTGGAGTTATGGGGGCTATGGGGCTGGAGTTATGGGGGCTATGGGGCTGGAGCTATAGGGGCTATGGGGCTGGAGTTATGGGGGCTATGGGGGGGTTATGGGGGCTATGGGGGGGTTATGGGGGCTATGGGGGGGATGGGGGCTATGGGGGCTATGGGGTCTATGGGGGCTATGGGGCGCTATGGGGGGGATTGGGGCTATGGGGCGCTATGGGGTCTATGGGGGCTATGGGGGCTATGGGGCTATGGGGGGGTTATGGGGTTATGGGGGATATGGGGGTTCTGGGGGCTATGGGGGCTGTGGGGTTATGGGAGGTTATGGGGGCTATGGGGGGCTATGGGGGCTATGGGGCTATGGGGGCTATGGGGGTTATGGGGGCTATGGGGTTATGGGGGCTATGGGGCTGGGGGGGCTATGGGGGCTGTGGGGGTTATGGGGGCTATGGGGGCTATGGGGCTATGGGGCTGGGGGGGGTTATGGGGCTATGGGGGATATGGGGCTGGGGGTGCTATGGGGCTATGGGGGCTGTGGGGGCTATGGGGCTGGGGGGGATATGGGGGCTATGGGGCTGGAGGGGGGTTATGGGGGTCAATGAGGGGGTCTATGGGGGGGCTATGGGGGTGATGGAGCCACGACACCCCCTATATCCCCCCATACCCCCCCATATCCCCCCACATCCCCCCCATATCCCCCCACATCCCCCCCACATCCCCCCCACATCCCCCCCCACATCCCCCCCATCCCCCCCCACATCCCCACCCCACATCCCCCCCACATCCCCCCCTATCTCCCCCCCCCCCCATACCCTCACCGTTCCTCCCGGCCGCTAGGGGGCAGGTTCTCGGCCGCCGCTGCTTCGAGGTCCGCGTCTGCGCATGCCCGGGCCGCGACCGCCGCTTGGAGGAGGAGAACCAGAGCCGGAGGGGCGGGGCCAAGCGCGGTGGGCGGAGCTAACTCCATATATGGCTATGGGCGGGGTTTAGAAGAGGAAGGGGCGCGCTTTGGGCTGTACCATCGGCTCTTAAACGTGGGGGGGGGGTGGTACCATTAACATAGGGGGGGTTCTATGGGGCTCTGACCCCTTTGTGCTCCTGCCCCACAGCTCTGCCCCCCCCCATTGAGGCCCCTGAGAGTTCGAAGAAGCGGGTGCTGCCCCCCGACAATGAGGAGTTCTCGTTGGTGGTGAGGGGGGGGCCCTTATGGGGGGTAATGGGGGTCCTATGGGGGTTAATGGGGGACTATGGGGGGTAATGGGGGTCCTATGGGGGGGTAATGGGGGTCCTAGAGGGGGTATTTGTGGTCCTAGAGGGGGTAATGGGGGACTATAGGGGGTAATGGGGGTCCTAGAGGGGGTAATGGGGGTCCTATGGGGGGTAATGGTGGTCCTAGAGGGGGTAATGGGGGTCCTATGGGGGGTAATGGGGGTCCTAGAGGGGGTAATGGGGGTCCTATGGGGGGTAATGGGGGTCCTAGAGGGGGGTAATGGGGGTCGTAGAGGTGGGTAATGGGGCCCTAATGGGGGTCATGGGGGTCCTAGAGGGGGTATTGGGGGACTATAGGGGGTAATGGGGGTCCTATGGAGGGTGTTTGGGGTCCTAGAGGGGGTAATGGGGGTCCTAGAGGGGGTAATTGGGGGCCTATGGGGGGTAATGGGGGTCCTAGAGGGGGTATTTGGGGTCCTATGGGGGGTAATGGGGGTCTATAGGGGGTAATGGGGGTCCTAGAGGGGGTAATGGGGGTCCTAGAGGGGGTAATGGAGGTACTATAGGGGCTATTTGGGGTCCTAGAGGGGGTGTTTGGGGTTCTGTAGGGGGTATTGAGGTCCTAGAGGGGGGATTTGGGTCCTATAGGGGGTATTTGGGGTGCTATAGGGGGTGTTTGGGGTTTTATAGTGGGTGTTTGGGGTCCTATAGGGGGTGTTTGGGGTTCTATAGGGGTGTTTGGGGTTTTATAGTGGGTGTTTGGGGTCCTATAGGGGGTAATTGGGGGTCTATAGGGGGTAATTGGGGTCCTACAGGGGGTAATTGGGGTTCTATAGGGGGTATTTAGGGTTGCTATAGTGGGTATTTGGGCTCCCTATGGGGGTATTGGGGTCCTAGAGCGGGTATTTGGGGTCCTAGAGGGGATAATGGGAGTTCTAGAGGGGGTAATGGGGTCCTATGGGGGGTAATGGGGGTCCTAGAGGGGGTAATGGGGGACTATAGGGGGTAATGGGGGTCCTAGTGGGGGTATTTGGGGTCCTAGAGGGGGTAATGGGGGTCCTAGAGGGGGTATTTGGGGTCCTAGAGGGGGTAATGTGGGTCCTAGAGGGTGTAATGGGGGACTATAGGGGGTAATGGGGTCTTATAGGGGGTGTTTGGGGTTCTATAGGGGGGATTTAGGGTCCTAGAGGGGGTAATGGGGCCCTATGGGGGGTAATTGGGGACTATAGGGGGTGTTGGGGTCCTATAGCGGGTGTTTGGGGTTCTATAGGGGGTGTTTGGGGTACTCTAGGGGGTATTTGGGGTCACTATGGGGGTATTTGGGGACCTTATGGGGGTATTTGGGGTCGCTATAGGGGTATTTGGGGTTGCTATGGTGGTATTTCGGGTCGCTATGGGGGTATTTGGGGTCCCTATGGGGGTATTTGGGGTCCCTATTGGGGTATTTTGGGTCCCTATGGGGTATTTGGGTCCCTATGGGGGTATTTGGGGTCGCTATGGGGGTATTTGGGGTCCCTATGGGGGTATTTGGGGTCCCAAGGGGGTATTTGGGGTCCCTATTGGGGTATTTTGGGTCCCTATGGGGTATTTGGGTCCCTATGGTGGTATTTGGGGTCGCTATGGGGGTATTTAGGGTCCCTATGGGGGTATTTGGGGTCCCAAGGGGGTATTTGGGGTCTCTATGGGGGTATTTGGGGTCGCTATGGGGGTATTTGGGGTCCCTATGGGGGTATTTGGGGTCGCTATGGGGGTATTTGGGGTTCCTATGGGGGTTTTGGGGGTCGCTATGGGGGTATTTCGGGTCGCTATGGGGCGGTCCCTAGGTCCGCGGCCGCCATCGCTATGAGATGCTGAAGAAGATCAATGATGCCCTGGAGGCCTACGAGGGGGGGGCAGCCCCGGAGCGACCGTAAGTGGGGGGGGGATCCCCCCCATTGAGCATCCCCATTGGTTCCTTCCATTGGGACCCCCCCCCCCTTTGAGCATCCCCATTGGTTCCTTCCATTGGGAACCCCCCCCATTGAGCATCCCCATTGGTTCCTTCCATTGGGAACCCCCCCATTGAGCATCCCCATTGGTTCCTTCCATTGGGAACCCCCCCCCATTGAGCATCCCCATTGGTTCCTTCCATTGGGAATCTCCCCCCTTTGAGCATCCCCATTGGTTTCTTCCATTGGGATCCCCCCCATTGAGCATCCCCATTGGTTCTTTCCATTGGGACCCCCCCCCCCTTTGAGCATCCCCATTGGTTCCTTCCATTGGGATCCCCCCCCATTGAGCATCCCCATTGGTTCCTTCCTTTGGGACCCCCCCCTTTGAGCATCCCCATTGGTTCCTTCCATTGGGACCACCCCCCCATTGAGCATCCCCATTGGTTCCTTCCATTGGGAATCCCCCCATTGAGCATCCCCATTGGTTTCTTCCATTGGGAACCCCCCCCATTGAGCATCCCAATTGGTTCCTTCCATTGGGAATCCCCCCCCCCCCCTTTGAGCATCCCCATTGGTTCCTTCCATTTGGAACCCCCCCATTGAGCATCCCCATTGGTTCCTTCCATTGGGACCAGCCCCCCTTTGAGCATCCCCATTGGTTCCTTCCATTAGGACCCACCCCCGGAGCATCCCCATTGGTTCCTTCCATTGCCCCCCCCCCCCCCCCCCTTTGAGCATCCCCATTGGTTCCTTCCATTGGGCCCCCCCCCTTTGAGCATCCCCATTGGTTCTTTCCATTGGGACCCCCCCCCATTGAGCATCCCCATTGGTTCCTTCCATTGGGACCCCCCCATTGAGCATCCCCATTGGTTCCTTCCATTGGGACGCCCCATTGGGGTGTGTGGGGAGGGGGGATTGGGATCGTGGGGGTCCCATAGGGGAGATTTGGGGTGAAAAAGGGGGGATTTGGGTCCTAAAGGGGGGATTTGGGGTGAAAAAGGGGGATTTTGGGTCAAAAAAGGGGGTATTTGGGTCAAAAAGGGGGGATTTGGGGTGAAAAGGGGGATGTGGGGTCAAAAGGGGGATTTAGGGTGAAAAAGGGGGGATTTGGGGTCAAAAATGGGGGATTTGGGGTGAAAAATGAGCATTTTGGGTCAAAAATGGGGTATTTAAATCCCAAAGGGAGGATTTGGGGTAAAAATAGGGGGGATTTGGGTCCAAAAGGTATTTTGGGGTGAAAAGGGGGGGATTTGGGGTCCCAAAGGGGGATTTTTGGGGTGAAAAATGGGGGTTTGGGGTGAAAAATGGGGTATTTGGGGTGAAAAATGGGGATTTGGGGTGAAAAAGGGGGATTTTGGGGTGAAAAATGGGGATTTGGGATGAAAAAGGGGGATTTGGGGTGAAAAAGGGGAATTTGGGGTGAAAAAGGGGCATTTGGGGTGAAAAAGGGGATTTTGGGGCGAAAAATGTGGATTTTGGGGTGAAAAATGTGGATTTTGGGGTGAAAAATGGGGGTTTGGGGGTGAAAAATGGGTTTGGGGGTGAAAAATTGGGATTTTTGGTGAAAAATGGGCATTTGGGGTGAAAAATGGGGATTTATGGGGTGAAAAATGGGGATTTATGGGGTGAAAAATGGGATTTTGGGGGTTCCCAATACCTTTGACCCCCCCCTCCCCAGGGTCAAAGGTCGCCGGGCGCGGGGGGCGGAGCCTCTGCCGCGCGGGAAGAAGCTGCTGCTGAAGGGGGAGGGGCCGGACTCGGACTGAGGCCACGCCCCCTTTTTACGCGCGAACCACGCCCCTTTACGCCGGAAGCCACGCCCCCTTACGCCATTAAAGCGCCGCCCCCCCCCCCTTTGTAGTCACCGCCATGGGCGCTTAGCCCCGCCCACCGCGCCATGGCCACGCCCCCCCCGCTCTGGCCACGCCCCCTTCGCTCCTTATAAGGCGGTTTTTATAATAAAGGAGTTTTGTATCGGCCCCGCCCCCACCTAAATGAATTGGGGGGGGGGAGGGGTAATTAATGGGGTTAATGAGGGGGTAATTAGATGGTAATGAGGGGGGTGATTAGGAGGGGTCATTAATGGGGTTAATTAGGGAGGGGTAATTAATGGGCTTAATGAGGGGTAATTAGATGGTAATGAGGGGGTAATTAGGAGGGGTCATTAATGGGGTTAATATTTTTGGGTCAATCCCCCCATTTTGGGCTCAAAACCCCCATTTTTGGGTCAAAACCTCCATTTTTGGGTCAATTCCCCCCATTTTTGGGCTCAAAACCCCCATTTTTGGGTCAATCCCCCCCATTTTGGGCTCAAAACCCCCATTTTTGGGTCAAAACCCCCATTTTGGGTTCAAAACCCCCATTTTTGGGTCAATCAAAACCCCCATTTTTGGGTCAATCCCCCCATTTTTGGGCTCAAAACCCCCATTTTTGGGTCAATCCCCCCATTTTGGGCTCAAAACCCCCATTTTTGGGTCAATTCCCCCCCATTTTTGGTTCAAAACCCCCATTTTTGGGTCAATCCCCCCCATTTTGGGCTCAAAACCCCCATTTTTGGGTCAATCCCCCCATTTTGGGCTCAAAACCCCCATTTTTGGGTCAATCCCCCCCATTTTGGGCTCAAAACCCCCATTTTTGGGTCAATCCCCCCATTTTGGGCTCAAAACCCCCATTTTTGGGTCAATCCCCCCCATTTTGGGCTCAAAACCCCCATTTTTGGGTCAATCCCCCCATTTTTGGGCTCAAAACCCCCATTTTTGGGTCAATCCCCCCATTTTGGGCTCAAACCCCCCATTTTTGGGTCAATCCCCCCATTTTTGGGTCAATCCCCCCATTTTTGGGTCAATCCCCCCATTTTGGGCTCAAAACCCCCATTTTTGGGTCAATCCCCCCATTTTGGGCTCAAAACCCCCATTTTTGGGTCAATCCCCCCCATTTTGGGCTCAAAACCCCCATTTTTGGGTCAATCCCCCCATTTTGGGCTCAAAACCCCCATTTTTGGGTCAATCCCCCCCATTTTGGGCTCAAAACCCCCATTTTTGGGTCAATCCCCCCCATTTAGGGCTCAAAACCCCCATTTTGGGCTCAAAACCCCCATTTTTGGCCTCAAAACCCCCATTTTTGGGTCAATCCCCCCATTTTGGGCTCAAAACCCCCATTTTTGGGTCAAAACCCCCATTTTGGGTTCAAAACCCCCATTTTTGGGTCAATCCCCCCATTTTGGGTTCAAATCCCCCATTTTGGGGTTCAAAACCCCCATTTTTGGGTCAAAACCTCCATTTTTGGGTCAATTCCCCCCATTTTTGGGCTCAAAACCCCCATTTTTGGGTCAATCCCCCCCATTTTGGGTACAAAACCCCCATTTTTGGGTCAATCCCCCCCCATTTTTGGGTCAATCCCCCCATTTTTGGGTCTCAATTTTGGGTTCAAAACCCCATTTTTGGGTCAATCCCCCATTTTTGGGTCAAAACCCCCATTTTGGGCTCAAAACCCCCATTTTTGGGTCAATCCCCCCCATTTTGGGCTCAAAACCCCCATTTTTGGGTCAATCCCCCCATTTTGGGCTCAAAACCCCCATTTTTGGGTCAATCCCCCCATTTTTGGGCTCAAAACCCCCATTTTTGGGTTCAAAACCCCCATTTTTGGGTCAAAACCCCCATTTTGGGTTCAAAACCCCCATTTTTGGGTCAATCCCCCCATTTTTGGGTCAAAACCCCCATTTTTGGGTCAATCCCCCCCATTTTGGGCTCAAAACCCCCATTTTTGGGTCAATCCCCCCCATTTTGGGTTCAAAACCCCCATTTTTGGGTCAATCCCCCCCCATTTTGGGCTCAAAACCCCCATTTTTGGGTCAATCCCCCCATTTTGGGCTCAAAACCCCCATTTTTGGGTTCAAAACCCCCATTTTTGGGTCAATCCCCCCCATTTTGGGCTCAAAACCCCCATTTTTGGGTCAATCCCCCCCATTTTGGGGTCAAAACCCCCATTTTTGGGCTCAAAACCCCCATTTTTGGGCTCAAAACCCCCATTTTTGGGTCAATCCCCCCCATTTTGGGGCTCAAAACCCCCATTTTTGGGTTCAAAACCCCCATTTTTGGGTCAAAACCCCCATTTTTGGGTTCAAAACCCCCATTTTTGGCTTCAAAACCCCCAATTTTGGGCACAAAACCCCCATTTTTGGGTCAATCCCCCCCATTTTGGGCTCAAAACCCCCATTTTTGGGTCAATCCCCCCCATTTTGGGCTCAAAACCCCCATTTTTGGGTCAAAACCCCCATTTTGGGTTCAAAACCCCCATTTTTGGGTCAATCCCCCCCATTTTGGGCTCAAAACCCCCATTTTTGGGTCAATCCCCCCCATTTTGGGCTCAAAACCCCCATTTTTGGGCTCAAAACCCCCATTTTTGGGTCAATCCCCCCATTTTTGGGTCAATCCCCCCATTTTTGGGTCAAAACCCCCATTTTTGGGTCACTCCCCCCCATTTTGGGCTCAAAACCCCCATTTTTGGGTCAATCCCCCCATTTTGGGTTCAAACCCCTCATTTTTGGGTCAATCCCCCTCTTTTTTGGGCTCAAAACCCCCATTTTTGGGTCAATCAAAACCCCCATTTTTGGGTCAATCACCCCCCATTTTTGGGCTCAAAACCCCCATTTTTGGGTCAATCCCCCCCCATTTTGGGCGCAAAACCCCCATTTTTGGGTCAATCCCCCCCATTTTGGGCTCAAAACCCCCATTTTTGGGTCAATCCCCCCATTTTGGGCTCAAAACCCCCATTTTTGGGTCAATTCCCCCCATTTTGGGCTCAAAACCCCATTTTTGGGCTCAAAACCCCCATTTTTGGGTCAAAACCCCCATTTTTGGGTCAAAACCCCCATTTTGGGCTCAAAACCCCCATTTTTGGGTCAATCCCCCCCATTTTGGGCTCAAAACCCCCATTTTTGGGCTCAAAACCCCCATTTTTGGGTCAATCCCCCCCATTTTGGGCTCAAAACCCCCATTTTTGGGTCAATCCCCCCCATTTTGGGCTCAAAACCCCCATTTTTGGGTCAATCCCCCCATTTTGGGCTCAAAACCCCCATTTTTGGGTCAATCCCCCCCATTTTGGGCTCAAACCCCCCATTTTTGGGTCAAACCCCTCATTTTTGGGTCAATCCCCCCCATTTTGGGCTCA